TGGTCTGCACACTTTTTGTAATGCAGAAGACAGTAAATATTAGAGTTTGCGGCACATACATTCTCTGCCATATGAAAACAATGGTTGTTTCCAAATAATTATTTATAGGCACTGTGATTTAAATTCTATTTAAATTTTATGGATCACAACATGTTCTTCTTTTGATTTTTTTTTTTCAATCATTTAAAAATAGAAAACCATCCTTAGCTCAGGGTCTGGACCATAACAGGCAGGTAGTTGTTTGCCAACCCCTGACCTAAAGAACCCAAAATGGCAAGGCTAATATTCAAGGCCTTCTACGATGGGTGTCTAGGACACTTTGTTCTAGGACATATCACCTTCTGTACTTCCTTCGCATATGCCTTTGTCATTTCTCTTATTGAAATCGTTTAGAGACTATTAACTTCTTTGTAAGTGTTTCCATAATCCTCTTATCTATGTAATAATAACACTTGTTATATTAAGAGCTAACTACAAAGAAGGAGTTTTATACAATATTTAACATTCATTTTTAAAAATTACAAGCTTAGTATTTGTTTTGGTCTAAATGTATGTGTCCCTCCCCAAATTTATATGTTGAAATCCTAACTCCCAGGGGATATCATTAAAAGTGGAAGCGTATGTGGGTGATTAGATATTGAGTGTGAAGTCCTCATAAATGGTATTAGCGCCCTTATAAATGAGACCTCAGAGAGCTTCCTCACCCCTTCTGTCATGTGAGGACACAGTGAGAATACAGCCGTCTTATAAACCAAGGAGAGGGCCCTCACCAGAAACAAAATCTGCCTTGATTTTGGACTTTTCTGCCTCTAAAACTGTGAGAAATGAATGTTTGTTGTTTAAACACTTAGTGTATGATATTTTTGTTATAGCAACCCAAATGTACTAAGACAGTATTATCAACTGATGTGAAAACTAAATAGCCAATAGATATAGTGAAAGTTCAAAAGGTCCGTGTTTAAGAGTCAGAGATGCAATGTGAACTTACGGCCATGTATGTCCACCACCCATTCCATTTCTGCTCCAACAAGCACACATTCTTCAAGCTCTAAGGGCAACTAGGGCCTCATACTGTATTAAATTATCACATCTAAGTACTTACCTACATCATCAATCTCATAGGGTTGTTGTAAATTATTTAGAAATGTCTAGCACCTAAAATAGTGATGGACATAGAGTAATCACTGTATAATATTTGCTGAGTTACTATTACACTGTTATTATTAGTACCATTATTGCCTGCTAGATTATGAGCAAATGGAAAGTAAATACTATGTCTTTCTCATCTATGGTTCCTCTCTGGCACCTAAGTCTATGTCTTTGGCAAAGTCAGTTGATAATATTGATTGCTGAATTAAAAAAAAAAAAATGACTATCACAAATAGAGAAGTCTCAGTAGTGCCCCCTGCCAGTTTTAGCTTTTTCAATACTAAAGCCTAAATTAAAAAGATCTTGAATTCATTTAAGAAAATCATGGCACTGAACTTTTTTTTTTTTTTTTTTTTAATATAGCTTTCTGGTCTGTAGCTAAATATACTCTCATTAAGCTCAATGACGACCTTTTAGATTTCTCACCTTTGGCCAATGTTGTGGTTAATGTCTCAGGAATTGATCCAAGTTGAAACCTGGAAATTGTCTACTCTATTTTTTCTAACCGTACCATGGTACCATCAGGGCTGGTTTGTGTGTGTGTGTTTGTGTGCATGTCTACATATTTAATGTCTTATATTTAATGTTGACTTTGTTCAAAAGTTCTATGACTGTCATCTTTAAAAGCATTTTTTCCCTCTGGAGAATCCAGCTGTTTTTATAGATCAAAGCATATTCTGCAACTTTCCATACTCTCCCTATTTCTTGATCAAATAAGTATAAATCTTACTTTTCTGCTAATTTAATGTGTTTAAATGAGACCATACCTGTGGAAAAAATAACCCTCAATTATAAATTTCCCTTTATTATAATTTTACTCTAAATAAATCTACTACCCAGAACCTTAAAAGTGACCTACCACCTCAGATACGATATCACAGCAAGAATAATTCTATACATTTAAATACAATGGTGAGTTTTAAAGTTATTCCCCACATACTTTCCAAAAGCAAAACACATCGTCTTTATTATTCACAACTCATTACTGTCTTTATTTTCTTATTTTCCTGAGTCATGACCAAGAAGGCCTTACTGTTTTCCCAGCTTGAGTAAATTTAGACAGGTTTCTTCCTGACCTTAGGCTTCTGACCTCTCTTTTCTTAGAGCATTTACTTTAGAAAACTTGTAATTGTAAATCTTTTCTCTGCCCTTTTGAGATGTAAATCTTTTTAAAAGCCTCTTGGCATTTTTACAACCCAGGACTGTCTTCCTCAAGGGCTCAGGAGCCATCCCTTTGAAATGTAATCATCAGGGAAGACAGAGCCTCCACTTCCCAGTTTCTGTGGGAGGATAGGACCCTAACTTCAGCGGGAGCCTTGCTCCAAGTTGTAAAACTATCTCCTGTCATGAAGACACAACAAAATTTACTTTTCCATTGGTTAAAACCAATTATCAAACACAGATGGCCTCCAATACCCCTTGCCCCATCCCAGCTTTTAAAAACTCTCCAGCCCTTTGCTTTAGCCAAGTTGCATTTAGACTGAGTCTGGTTTCTCCTCCCTTTTACAATAACAGCCTTGAATAGATTCTTCCTTACCTGTTTAGCTTTCTCCGGTGTAATTTTTGATTTGACAGCTGCAAGTGATTTTAGTAGGTATATTTATATTTAGTAGTCTTTGTCTTGAAATTTTTGTGAATCATAAAACTATATCCAGATTTTGGCAAGAAATTATTTTTTATAGAGGAGAACATAATATATGAAAAATAAGTTCTATATTCTATTTAGATGCACCCTGTTGATGCATTAGAGATCTATGGGTAAAGGGGGAGAAACGCTCAGGAGGTCTTGTCAGCTCTGTGTGTCCTCTGCAGGGGTATTAACTCTTTCATAACTGTCTAACTGCCCTAGACTTTGAGATTCATATAATAAGACCCCCAAATTTATTAATTTTACACATCTATGGTAGGTAACCATTATCTTGAATATAACAGAGGTTCACTGATTTCTGAATGAAGAAAAAAAAATCTAAGGACACAGAAATCTTCTGAGAAAATAGCAATGTAAGTGTAAGTAAATTTAGAATTAGCAAAAGAGATCACTGGGTGTCTCTGTGTTCATTTTATAGTTCTATGACAGCCATTACTTTAATTTTTCAAAATTATACTTTAGCACAGCTATCAGGACAGTACATGAGCAGACATTCATATTTTACAAAAAGACTATTGACAACACATAGAAAGTGCCTAGTGTTCTAAAGGTAAATTGAAACAAAGATATTATGAATAATTTCAAGAACAGTTTGTATCTAAAAACATTAATTTATACCAAGACATTAGGAATAAAATAAGGATGTAAATATCAGGAGTTATTATTTACAACATCTAGCTACATGAGTTTCCTCCAACTTCCATAAATACTTAAATTAACATTTTAACCTAGATATAATAAGCCAAGCCCTGATATTAAAAAAAAAATAATTCAAGTGTGTATTCTAACATGCTATATCCATTTTGCAACAATTCTTTTTCTATATCTGTAACCACCAACTAAATGCATAACACATTTCAGATACTGAGTTGGACTTATCTACAGTTAGCATAAACTGCTCAATGTATTTCTCATTAACAGTACATATTTTTATAGTCCTTACCATGTGCAGTTATTCTAGAAGTTTCACAATATTAACTCATAAAATTCTCATAGCTCATTAATTTTCACAACTTATTATATAATACAGGTTTTGACAGATCTTTTAGATATATATGGTAACAGAGTCAAGGAGAGTTTTGAGTTTCTTGCTCATAATCACACAGATAGTAAGGTTGGTATTGTGACTATAGCATCTGAGCTCCCACAGATTAATAAAACATATCAGAATAAACTGGAAACATGAAGTGGATAATCTAAAACAAAAAAAAGTAGAAGGAAATGACAGAATGATGACAAAAGAAGAAATTAGGACAATCCCTATAAATTTGATGTAGAAACAAGCAGTCTATGTTAGAGTGATGAGTTCAAGAGAGAGGCAAGTTGAATGCTGCTCTCATCAAAATGTCCACTGCCATGTTATATTTTTGAAATTGAATATAGAATGCCTGGCTCAGCCTATTCGGGTTCTTATCCACACTAAGTTAATGATTGTCTTTCTTTCTCTCTTTTATTCTGTTGTCTGGATCAGCTTTTGCCCCCACAGACATGTTTCAGTTTGACTTCTTCATTGACTTCCTACGGCTATGAATTGCCACAAACCCAGTGGCTTTAAAAAACATGGATTTATTATTTTACAGTTTTGGATGTCAAAAGTCTAAATCAAGGTGTTGACAGGGCTGCATTCTTTCTGGAGGCTGTAGGGGAGAATCGTTCCAGTTTCTAGAGGCTGCATATATTCTTAGCTCACAGCCCCTTCCTCCATCTTCAAGCGTTATCCAGCCTCTGTGTTATGCATCTCTGCTTTCTAACTCTGACTCATTCTGCACCCTTCTCTGAAGGATGCTTGTGATTATACTGAGTCCAATCAAACGATCCAGGATAATGTCCCCATTAAGCTCCTTAACTTCATCACATTTGCAAAATGCCTTTTACCATGCAAAGTAAAATATTTATAGATTCTGTGGATATCTTTGTGGGAAAGGCACTGTTGTGTATACCACAACCTCCTACTGTGAATTTAGGTAGTCTGCTTTGATTTTATATGCATAAAGTAGAAAAAAAGCCTTGCAAATGACGTTTCTGCCCAACATCTAAAACCTGGCTGACATTATAGCTCAGGCCAATTCCCTTAGTATGTCAAGGTCTGTATTTTCCAGCATGCACTACGGACTGCACCCAATGACTCCCATAGAGGGTCTCACACATTGTCTGGGAAGCTGAGTCCATATTATGACCCAGAGACAACTTAACATATGTTTACCTGGTAAACTTCATCAAACAGTGGCAAATATTGACTGATCTTGATCAATACAATTACTTTGTAAGTTAGACTAATATAGGAGAGAAGACGTTGGTGGAAGTTAGCAGACCTGAGTTTCAGTATTGCCTTTGCTGTTTCATGTAAGCATAACCTGAAGGTTATTTAGTGTCTCTGGAGCAGAGCTGGGACTCAAAGTATTTTTTTTTTTTTACTTTCCCTTTGTCCACAATACATTATTGCTTCCCTCTTCTCATGGATTTTTCTCCTCACTCCTTGAATCTGGGCTGTTCTGTCTCTTGCTTTGATCAATATAAAGTGGCAAAAATAATGTGTCAATACCGGATATCAGCTTCAAGAGACCATACAGTTTCTGTTCTTGCCATTCTTGGAACAGGCCCAGGTTAGCTACTGGATGATGAGAGAGGCACATGTCAGGCCCCTCTTGTCCCAACAGACAGACAACATTTCTGCAGAGGCAGAACCACCAAGCTGACCAAAAGCTGACCACTGATGCATGTGTGAGCCCACTTAAGAGCAGCAGAAAAAATAACCCTGCTGAGTCCCAGCCAAATTGCTAATCTACAAAATCATGAACTAAAGGAATGCGTTGTTTTAAAGAACCAGGCTTTGGGGTGATTTATTAAGCAGCAGTACTTAGTTGATACAACCATGGAGAGGAGGCGGATGAGAGTTGGTGACTTCAGTTTTTGATAGGTGATGGCAACATACCAAGGAAAATGACCTTAAATGACCAAATGACAAAAAATGACTTAAATGACAAAATTACATAGTGCGGAGACATCAGATTTAGACATGGGAATTTCTTTGAACTCAGCAAGAGCTCTAGTGCCTTGACTATTCTAACCTTTTCCTTATCTGTTATGTCCTGTCTTTATTATCCAACATAGATTTCAGGATCCATCAATTGTCTTTTCTATTGATAATATATGCAAGTCCTTTTATTTATCTAAATATAATTTTTGTTTATTCACTTCGTTGAACGGTTATTTTTAACCCTCTTACAATAGCTTAATTCTGGAAGAAAAAAATGATTTGCTTTCTCTGAGTCTTTCTCTGCCATGCTAACTTAGATTTTTCAGTTCCACCAAGAAATGTCAAAAGCCACCTTTCTATCACTTTATATAAATGCTCCATGCATGTTCTCAATAGTCCCTTTAATTTCCATTGCCATGCATGTGCTTCTATTAGACCTAAATTTGTACCCTAGACCTTTTCTTTGAGCTACAAATCTTTATTGATGACCTCCCAGACGTATTTACCTGGATTTAGAGCTGCTTCAAACAACATGTTTCAAGCAGCACTAATCATCTCCATGCCCCCTTCTCCAAGGAACAACACAATTATTCAGCTAGTTACTCAAACTAGAAACACTGGTTTTGTCTTTAAATTCTCCCTCTGACCTTCCTTATACAATCACTAAATTCTCTCACATCTATTTCTTAAATTTCTCTTTCTTGGAATCCTAGAGATTGACCCTGATCTAGGCATCAATATACTATGGAAAAACTGTGACTCGTACTCAGCAAAATAAATTTCATGATGAACTCACTGGAAAACGTCTTAGGCATGCACATATCTGAGAACATTTGTATGATAACTAACAAAATCAACAAAAGTCGACATGCTACTAAGTGAATAGAGTTTTATTCTCTTTTGAGCAGGTCAAACGTGTTAACATTTGAGTTAGTATTGACTTTCTGCAAAGAATGTTGATTTCTTATTTTTTTATAAAACCCTAAATTCATCTCTAATCTTGACTACTCAAATACAGGTTAAGTGTTTAATAAGCAGATAATAAGCCTGTATATATGAACACACATGCATAATGATTAAAATGATGTGAGAATACACTTATATATACAAAATAACAGTGACTTGAATAAAGTGGAAAATATAATCTGAAATCCAGAAATTCACCAAATTAGAGTAAGTATATCAATCTTTTCATATCCCAACCTTAAAACTAAAATCAACTTTATACCAAACTTCATTCCAACTTTATCCAAACTTTATACCTTTTCACAAATGAGAGCAATATCTTTGCTCCATTTGGAGAAATATGCATTCTTAACAACAAAAGTAATTGAATAAGATCTGTGAAAAAAATTAATGGAAGGAAGAAAAATAAATTAGAAATGTTGTTGGTTTGATTTTCTTCCACCACATGTCAGCAACATTTACAAAATACTGTAATATACTTGACTGTGGGAATTAGTCCCTCATTATTGCAAATAGTAGGCAAAGTACACATTTCAATACAAGATAGCAAACCTCAGATCTGACAAATCTGTGAAACTTGACAATTGAAAGGACACTGTACTTTCTAACTCTTCCTTACTCACAGTGAATGGAGGCAGGTAGCATTATCAACACCTCCACATAATGCTCTATTATTTTGACTTCATTCAGCCTCTT